ATTTAAGTTTTCGAACAGACAAAAATATTGAATAAAAAATAATGCTTTCTCGTAATATTATAAAGAAGTGGTTCAGAAATTGTTCGAAAAAAATTTAATATTTTAGTTTTCGAACAAACAAAAAATGTTTAATATAAAAAAATTCTTTGCATTTTAGGAAAACTCGTGCTTTCTCGTAATACTATAAAGAAGTGGTTCAGAAATTGTTCGAATAAAATTTTTTTTGAATATTTAAGTTTGCGAAAAAACAAAAAATAAAAAATGATTTTTTATTCGAGTGTACTGCTTTCTCGTAATACTTCTTTATTCTTTTTTTTTTTTTGTAATTAATATTAATTTTATTCACATAAATCTGTACGAATATAAAGTTTTAAATAAAGTATAATTATAAACAGTTTTTAATTTCAATCACTGTTGTATTAAAGCATTGCTCACAAGGTTTCAAAAAATAAATATATTTTAAAAACTGATATTTTGCTTATAAATTATAACAAATTATTTTAAAAAAATATGCACAATTTACTTATGTATAACACTTTTAAAACAAATAAAAAACTTTCAATAAAAAGAATAATAGTTTTTTTGTAAATATTTTCGCTTTCTGGTAGTATTTTTTATTTTTTTTAATTTGTAATTTTTAAATACTTTTTCTTTACGCTTTACGTTTTCACAGAATAAATATAATTACATAATAAATTATTAAACACATGCACAATTTACACTTAACTACTCAATTTTGTTTGTTGTGCTCGGGACTTTGGAAAAAATAGCACCTTACCAAAAAAAAACAAAAAAAATAAAAAAAATTACATATGTATATACACATTACATGGCATCACATGTGTATTGATATACATACATACGTGCTTGGCCTTTATAAACTAAATAGAAAAATTGTGTAGAAGACAATAAATATATATGTTTGTATATAAAATAGAAAACACTTATAAACATATTTGGCTTTAGTATAAATATTGAAAGACGACAAGTGCAGAGAATTTCCTAGACGCATTAATATTAAGATTGCAAATGCTAGCGAGGCGCTTAGAAAAGAATAATTAAGCTAAGTAGCGCCAGAAGGGCTGCTATTCAAAGCCAAAACACATACAAAATTTGAGGTTATGCTGAATTTTTAAATTTATAATGCGTATTTGACTATTTATTATTATTATTTCTGCATGAACCAAAACTAAATATGATTAAAATACAATAATTTTCAATCAAAACTTTGAAATCACAACTTTTGGCATTTCTTTTGTTCTAAAATTAAATTTGAAAACAAAAAATCAAGAGCACTAATTCACTGTTACATATCTATATCACTAATTTAGCACACCCTTTTCAATACTAAATATTTGTAGTCAACATCCAGCATTCAAAAACAACACATATTTCTAAAAAAAAAATCATACATAACCTAAAAAATTCCTGCATTTATCGTCTTTCTTTGTGTTAATATCAACGCATTCACATTATACATGTATATTTCTGTAGTGTAGTGTAGTTATTTTCAGCAAAGGGAGGAATGTTCACCATTTCTAGCAAAAATGTTTCCAACAAATTATGTCACCGAAATTTTTGTTTTGACACTCGACACTTGCTTTCCTTAAAACCGAAAAATTACAGCTATTTGCACAAAATGCACACAAACAAAAATGTACAGCAATTTACTTGGCCTCCATACTGCCAGGTGTGGCGGAGAGTGCCATTTTCGATAGCGTAGCCAAGGAACGTTTGGAAGTATCCGAAGTGTCGGAGAACAGGCGGCGGAAGCTGTAAGGAAATTAAATAAAAATATGATAATATAGTTTATATTAAATTCGAAATATTAAAACGTTATATAAAAACATCATATATAAAAAATATATAAATTGTTTACTATTAAAAAATATTAACATACATTAAGCATTAAGAAATATCTTTTAAAATATTTAATTTTAGTGGCTGCTCCAGTGTTGAGATAAAAAAATCATATTAAGTCTAAAAATTTTACGTAAAAAAAATTAATTTTATAAGCATAAGCATTAAAAACAAAAATTGTTTAAATGTAACAGACGCCGGAAACTGAAGAAATTTACAATTTCATAATATTAATAATTAAACAATATTTTGGATTAAAATAAAAATATTATAATA